TCCAGGGGCTGTATCAAGTTAAAAAGGACTGCTAATTATTGTGAGAAAATGGGCTTATAGTAAAAGAAAAAAGACTCTCTGTTGTTTCAATGTGAGCATTTAACATTTTTCTGTTTAGACCTGTGTTTTGTTTTAAACTTTGTTACTGCTCCGTAGTAAAAGACAATAGGTGAGTTGGGGAGGAGATACACTGCCGAATAAACCGGAAAAGAAGGCAGCACAGAACTATACGTGTGCGATCATCTCGGGACTTTGTGAAGATGGGTTTAACAAAGAAATGATTAGAACAACGAGGTCTGAAGGAGGAGATATGACGGTTGTAAGAAGAAGTTCATGAGCCTGACGTTTCGGATTCTCGCTCCAGCCCATCGCCAAGGAAAATCGCAGTTAAGGATTGCAGAGGCAAAAGATATGCAGTATTCACAGATCATACTGGTCACGTGACCACATGCCTACTACAGTTAGCAGTTCCCACGATCGCCGCTGGGAGCTGTAATTCATACAGTGATGGTTTAGCAGTCAGTGTCCGAGTCGTTGATTGCCGCGATCACATCATCCGTGCTGGATGTTGGCGTGATAACTATGCAGCCATTTAGCTCGTTATCCTTGAACGTGTTGGTTGTCCGTGCTCTCCCCATGTGACGACTGTCCCTGTTCAGGCAAAGTTTCTGTGTCATTGTGCTTGTTGACGGACTGTGGGCCTGAGAACCAGGGATCGAGCAGCGAGCGACACTCGTGGTTGTCACTTCTTGCCAGAAAGTTGCCTCGTGCAACTTACAAAGGACGCCCTTATTAAACTTACCTGTGACTGTCTTTGATGATGGATTCGATCGAAAAATCGAAACGAAAGAACACTAGACGTCTTCTTTCAGCGATCTTGTCTTCTCATTTTCAACTAAGTTTGCGAGCTCGCCTGGTTGCTTCTACCGTCAATCTCAGGACCATTTTACCGTTTGAAGATTCCTATGTTTCATTGTGCACTTATGTAGCTAGGTTTGAGAATTTTCACCACGAAGACTCACTATCCAGTAAAAATACAGCTGAGGTTTGCATGTAATGCAATTTTGAGAGGGGACCGAGGCCTAAAGCCCTGCATGGCTAGGATTCAACTTTACAAACTGAGTAAAGTACGCTTTCTTTGAGTAGTAGGAACAAGCAACAAGGTGTCAATAACGCAAGAACTTGTAGGAAGGTCCGTTTGGGCAGGAAAAAACGAAGACAAAACTACTCGTTCAGTAAAAGTAACGTGATTGGTGAATGTTCTTCTCAAAATAAATAAACAAAGCCAAATAGACAGTAGCGTTTTTCAAGAAGCAACAGTAAGCTTTACGTTCCGCCGTGGTTTTGCTGTTCGGAAGTTTTTAAAAAGCGTTGAACTTGATACCTAGAGAGGATACTGGTAAGACTGTGTCTTCTGATACTTTAAACTAGTTGAGCACCATCCTAAATAGAATGTAATGCATTCAATATCATAGCTTCGCGTCAGCGTGCGCCGTGACTTAATTGACTTTACTAGAAAGATAATTTGCAACACTATCCTCAGTACTCGGGTAAGGACATCGAAATTCGAGGCAGATTTGAAGGACCGTAATATTTAGGAAGTTAAATTAAATTCTCTTTGCATTTAATTGGTCGTGATTTCTTATATTTATGACCTGTAATAAATTTAAATTTGTAACTTCAAGATTCTTTTGCTGTTTCGTATAATTTAACTCATATTATTTATATTATTTAACTCATAAAGGACATTTCCACCAAGTGCAGATGGGAAGTCGATGTAATTAACAGCTTTTGCAACAGACTAACCTGTATATCTGCAGCTGAAAGAGCTCACCTGTTCCCTGCAGAGTTACCTTTAGCTTAAAAAATCTTAATTTTACAAATCTTGCACTTTATTCGATGCAGAGATAAGTGGATCCCTTTTTGGATGAATTTCAGTCAATGATAATACTTTCTGAGTAAAACTAATGTCATTGTAAAGTTTTGCCCGTGGTCATTGATGTCTTCTAAACAATTTGATTTAGAAGAAACCTTTTTGACAGACTTAGTTAGGTTTCGGCATTTCAGATAGTTATTTACTTTAATCAAAGTGAGACACTGTAGCTAGGATCTTAATATTTGGCACGCAGATCGGCAAAGCCGGTGGAGGTTGTCCAACAAACACAAGTTTTGCCTTCGATATCTTTTTCTTCACGAATATCACTTTCACTAGGCAGTTGTTACAGGCTCTTAGTGTAGAGAACCTCTTTGTTAGCCGACGTTGCACTTTTGACTAACAGTATCACAGCTGACCGAAATACAGAAAATTTCGTAATGAAGAGTCTTCAGTATGATTTCTAAGCAGCAGTGATTACTAAGCGCGTACGAAAAAGAATTGAAGACTGTTGACTAACCGTATAGAGAGCCGAGAGAGCACCCATGATTGCATTCAATTGTGGATAGATTCCCTGCATCCAGACAGCATCGCTGGGTGCGGAGGCAAGCGGCCCAAGAACCAGCAGTGGCGATCGGAATCCAAGTTCAACTGCCCTGGTTTAAAATAATTCGCAAGTTGGTTAGCTTGCTCCTAATTGCATCTGTTTTCGAAGTGTTTTGGTCCGTTAAGGTTACTTGATATATAAAAGCACGTTTAAGCTGACGTGTTGGAAAGAATCAATCCCAATCACAATCAATCAATCGAGTTTCAATCGGATTTATACACAAAGGCATGTAGTTTTTCACCTATTGGTTAGGGAACTAACTGGTCCCGTTGTGCCTTGCAGAAATGAGTTCCACAACCGATTGGTGAGGACCTATCTGCCTCTCTGTGTATTCCAGATCGAAACCGGCAAGGCAACGAACCCGTGGCACAGTGGTCAGAGCGTTGGACTTCTAACTGAAAAGGTCATGGGTTCGAATCTCATTGGTCGCCACCCCTGGGGTTGGGTGTGACTGGATGATAAGGGCTACTCAGCCAGAATTGGCCATTCCAGGCTCCCTTGTCTTTGCGGAATTTAAAAAA